TCCTTCTCCAGTACATGGATAAATACACCTGGAAACATCTACCTACCTACTCTCTCCCTACCTTACCTACTGTATTTCTCTCTCCCCACCTCAATCTACCTACTTACCTACCTACTCTCTCTCTCCCTACCTATCTACTGTATTTCTCTCTCTCTCTCCCCCTCTATCTACCTACTCTCTCTCCCTACCTACTGTATTTCTCTCTCTTTCTCTCTCTCCCTCTCCCTACCTACTCTCTCTCTCCCTACATACCTAGTGTATTTCTCTCTCTCTCTCTCTCTCTCTCTCTCTCTCTCTCTCTCTCTCTCTCTCTCTTTCCCTCTATCTACCTACCTACTTTTAAGAAAAAAATTGTCTCTTAAAAACCTTGGTGCGTCTTATACTCCGGTGCATCTTATACTCTGCAAAATATGGTAAGTTCCCAAATCTCACTTTCTAGCCAATTTCACAGGTTTCCTAACAATAATCTTAAAAAGCTACTGCAAATCTTCAGAACAACAGGCTTGAACAGTCATTGCGTGAGTTTTATTTTCAACTCTGAACAAAAATAAAATTAATTATAAGTTTAAGAACTTAAAGAATTTGAAATAAATAGCAAAAACCTAAACAAGGTTTTGATCTAAGAAAATTATAAACAGGTTAAAAATCTAGATAAGGTTGGAACATTGACTTTTATTATAAGATTTTGGAATTTATAAAAAATAAATGACCTCATGGGAAACAGACGTGGCTTGGCTATTTTGGCTGTTGTAAATAATAACAAAGGTAAGTTACTTATGATTTTAGAAATTGGACCCCAGAGTGGACTAAGGATTCTAAATTGAAGGAGAAAAAGAAACCACAAGCCTGTTCTTGATGTCACTTAATCCTTTTTACAAAATGACACAAAATATTATAACATTAGAAACATTAAAATCTTTGAAAAATTGAGATTTTTGAAAAATGGAGCCGGAAAATAATAATAGCAACACTGTCAATAATAAAGCCTGCTTTCACAGATAATATCCCAAAAATGTTAATGATGGAGTAACAGATGCAAAAATAACATTATTTTTAAAGTCCCAAAAGGGAAACTACAAATAATAGAAGAAGAGAATTATTTGGAAAGGGGTGCTTTACTGGATATACAGAAGAAACTGGCTAAAGTTTAAAAATTAAAATGGAAATACTAATAATAAACAAAGAAAATGACATGGAAAATGTTTCCTTATTGGATTTACAAATGAAACTTGTTAAAGCTATGAAGAAAAAGCTCCAAAAAAATGTGAGGATAAAGAAACACTGAAAAGAATTAAAATCCTATAATAATATTTGGCTGAATTAAAGATTAAGGCAAATTAAGGAATGTAAATTTGGTTTATTTCATCAAGATTAAAATACTATTCTTTTATAAACTTCTGGTAATATCAGTATTGAAAAGTTATACTTTAAAGATTTGCTTATAATACAGGATGGGATGAAGATATATCTTTCTGTAACTTTAGGTGGGGGGGTTTAAAGAATTACTAAATTTGTTTATACTTGTGATGAAAATTGAAAGTAACTTATTTACATATTTTTTGTTTATTACATTCTTTTCTTTTCCCCTATATATTTTTCCTATTCTTTCTCCATGTTTAGTTTCTTAGTTCTTACTATTATAATCATAATTTATAATTAATACAATTATATTTAAGAAAAATCCTCACAGGCTTTGTCTAAACTGTCTAATTCTACACATTATCCTCCTGTAGCATTCAATTTTAATAAAATTCTTTTAAAAAGAAATCTAACCATAATAGATTTAAAAATGAAGGAATAATTTATGCAATAAACATTAAAAGAAATTCTTTTTAAAAATCGGTCCTCTCAAAGTATCACAGTTCTTGTAGAATAACAAATGGATTGGGCCCATGACATTTATTATACCAAATTCAAGCAGCAACTGAGGAAGTTGAACTGAAATGAAAGCTAGTTAAACAAAAAGCAGATCCAAGATTAAACTCAAGGGAACAACCAGCAAATTCATCTCTTACTGAGGCAAGTTATTTGACATGCCAGAGATTTAGCTCCAAGAAGCCTACAGCACATATTCCATTAACTTTCAACCCAAATACATTAGCTTTGCACCAGAGGAAGGGCAGTTTACTGTATTGTATTAGCTAATTAAAAAGATACTCACCATACCAAGACTTTGTTTTGGAAAGAGGAAAGAAAATGAATGTCATTCTTATAAAAGTAGGATCAATAAAGAGAATCACTGCTAACTCCATTAACCATTGTTCTAAGTGGGCAGCCCAGCTGACACAAGTGATAAACCATGTGCTTCTAAACACTTTTTAAAATGCTAATCAGACATCATATGGAGCTTAACACAATAATCAATAATGTCCAGATTTAAAAGCAAAAATTAAAGTTATGAACAGAAGTGTTCCCATAGAGAACCCGCCACAAGCATCATCCAAAAGAAGAAAAATGAAACCAATTTAGCTCCAGATTAAGAGTGAGGAACTAGAAATGAATCAATTTAGCTAGCTGAGCTGGGTCACCATATATCATGGCTTGGCAGCGCAGGTGGAAGCAGCTAGGCAGTAGGAATATAAAAACCTCACCAGGCCCCAAGGTCTGATACTGGTTATCAATTAAGTTAACAGAACCCACCACTTCACACATAGCATGTTTAACTATCACAGCAGCAACAATTTATCACACACAAATTCTAGATAAAGTAGGATAAAACAGCTATAATCTTGGCTTCTAACTACTGTTTTCTGCTCTCAATGGAGTTAAGAGCCTCTATCTAATGGTAGCAACCTATTTCCAGAAGGGATTTCTTATGAAAGAACTGCTGTCAAGTGCAAGAAATGGTAATTGGCTTTTACTTTTTCTGAAAGGTTACAGCGGTTGACTGTCCAAGTTTAATTTTGGTCCTTAAAAGTCAAAGGTTTCTGAATGTTCCGTGATAGATCAGGATTTGTCACAAAGAAGCACTAAGTCTATATTTCACAGGACAGAATTATTGTATTCATCACTTAGAAAAAGTTTAAACTCCTCCAGGCAGCTCTGAATGAAGCATTTAGATAATGTGATCAAGGTGATGCTACCAATTCATCATTTGGACAAGTGTTTTTCAATTTTAAAGGCTAAGATTTGAGGAAACAGACAACTTTTGAACCAATGAAATTGCCATACTCCTGAACAAGACAAAAACTAAATTCCTTTGTTTTCTTCAGAGGTTCATAAACTGATTATGTGCCACCCACCTCAAATGATGGTTTGTGACCCCTAATCCCTATTTACTCCTAAAAAGCAGAAAAAATACATGCTGCCCCAGATCTGAGTGTCCCTGAGGTTTTAGCTAATGTGAGCCCAAATTGTTGAGATAAATAACTCATTTTAACTTCCTGCTCTTCCTTGCAGTGAAGAGCACAGAGAGAAACACACACTACAGTGGCACAGCTTAAAAGCTGCATTGTGACAGTAATTCATTAGAATTATCTTTCTTTCTTCCTTTGATACTTAAAGGCAAATATTTAAATTGTGGAACAACAAAAATTCTCTGTGCTCTTCCCAGCTGTTTACAGAAACTACTACCAAAATCATGCATAGTTCATTAGGTAAGATATGGCTCTAGCAAGTGTTATCAATTTGTCTACCTCCACAAGTTGTCTCTAAGACAAGTCAGCACAAGGCAAAATATATTTGTGTTATCTCCTGCTCCAAAGTGCTATTACTCCAGCTGTTTTCAATGTGGACCATTCTTGTCATCTAATAAAGTAGCAGCTTTTAGTAAAATCAGTAGTAAGATACACTACCCTATTTCTAGCACTTCAGCTACAATTACCTAATTTTTCCACTTTTTTTCCTGAACTCCATGCCACCTCTTAAATTAATGTTGTATTTATTTCCCCTCCAGTTTTCTTTCTACTTCAGCCTTCCTTCAACTGTTCACCACTAAAATCTCAGTACAATACTCAAACTGCAGAAGACTATACATACTTGCCCAACATATAAGACAGTATTACTAGCTTGCTGCAGAATGTTGTGTTCTTGCAAAGGCATTTCAATATGCATTTCCATAATTAAAATGTGCATATGTACCAGATTATCCTACAGTAATCTTCTCAATTCTTAGAACTATCCAAATAACGCATATCATCATTACTAACAATGTATTAGTGCATAACACAGTCTAAAAAGACTTTACATATATTTTTCTTTCTTCAGAGGAATATTTTTTAAAAAAATGGGTTATCTGTGTTAACTTGATCACATCTTACATAGTATGCACAGCTAAAAAGGCCTCTTGCACTTGTATTATTCTATGTCAGCTAGTGAGCAATCTAGTCTGTTAAGCATTTCTATGCCTGAAGATTTCAATGCAATCAATCTACATTATACCCAGAACTCACAAGAAATAAGCTTAAATATCACTGTATGTGGCCTTGCCTGACTGCAAGAAGATTTGACAGTATTGTGCATTGCTCTGAACCCCTCTTTTGGTCACTACTCTTTGTAGAGCAAAATGATCTGTCTCATGTTACTCATTCCCAGTGGAAATGAAGGTTAAAATAATCTAATTCTATTCTGGAGAAAGGGCATGACGAGTAAGTCTTTTGAAAAATAACACGTCCCAGGGGGAAAGAAAAGGGCAGCGTTTTGATACTATAGAGAATTTAACACAAGGATAATATTTGCTATCATCCCTCTAAAGCCTCAGAAACTACACTGAGGATCTAGAAATGAAACATAAAATCATCTTTTAGAGCCAATATACCAAAATGGATTTTTATCTTTCTACAGATATGGAATTCCTATAAAGGCTAAAAAAAACCAAAAGGACATGAAAGAAACCCTTTGATTTTTAGCTATGAGAGTGCCAGCTTTAAAAGCTGTGTAGTTTCAATTGAAAATATATACATATATATATTCCTGAGTTTTGGATAGAGATAAGCTGGAGGCATCTTCTGTAATGTTGCACCTTTGACCATCAAATATATACATAGACAATTCATACTTACTTCTCTATGTCACTGTTTTTGCAAGTCTTTTGTGCAGGCTCTTGCTTACTACACTCCCCGTTACTTGTTGATGGCATTTCTATAAAGAGGAGGAAGAACTCAATCAATGAAGAAAGTTTATTCAAATGCACATCAAATTACAGCATGAGTAAAAGGCTCTCTTCTAAAAATTTAAACACCTCGTAAAAAAGCAAAAATGCTAATCACACAATTAATAATGAATTTGAGTGCTAATTTTAAATCGCCTCAATTCCAGAATGATACAAGCTGGTAATCTTCAAAAGCCTTGGCCCACCAGCCTTTGCTATTAACCATTATGGCTGCTGTTAAAGAAAACTGAAAAAATTGGAGGTCACAGGCTTAATTAGGCTTATTCTATTTTTTTTTTTTTTTTAGAGTTTAGTATGGAACAGGCTTGTCTATCAACATACCCAACTGGACTAGTTCAAAATAAATAAATAAATACATTTGTCATGATTACTTTCTACTAACATTTTTTTCAGCTATATACAAATTAGAATTTAAGAATGATTATACTGTAGATGTATACTGCTGGAAAGCCAACATCAGAGAAAGAAAATTGGGTTTCGACTATTACATCGAAACCATAGTGGCCCAGTGTTTAGAATGCAGTACTGTAGGCTATTTCTGCTGACTGCCAGCTGCCTGCAATTTGGCAGATCGAATTTCACCAGGCTCAAGATTGACTCAGCCTTCCATCCTTCTGAGGTAGGTAAAATGAAGAGCCAGCTTGTTGGGGGCAATATGCTGACTCTGTAAACTGTTTAGAGAGGGCTGTAAAAAGCACTGTGAAGCAGTATACAAGTTTATGTGCTATTGCTACTTTCTCTATTTAGATTTCATGCACAAATATTATTTTGTTTAAATGGAAGTATTGAACATGTATAAAAAATTAACATTGTTTTGGGTTCCATAGTTTCGCTATTAAATAGGTATACTTTAATTCTAAAAGCATTAAATAGGTGAAAACTAAACATATTCAAAGATCTTTATCCGATCCTGAATAGGCTGAAGGCATAATATGAATGATAAAAATCCCTTCAAGGTCATTCCATGTTTTTACTTAAGGTTTGGTTGTCCTGATGTATGTATCACCATATCCAAAAAATGGATTTAGAACTCTGAATTATACTGTATACAAAGCAAAATCGAATTTTGTCATAAATGTGACTTCCCAAAAATGGTCTCTAAAATATAATATTCATCTTCAGTCTCTATGCACCTTCTAGGCCAACTAGCAGCCTGCTACATCGTATACTCACCATCACTTGCCCATTTAGAGAATTCTGGTGTTATTCGGGTACTAGGAGTGCCACCACTGAAAGAAGCAAGATAGCAATCATTTGTTACAGGACAAGAGACCTCAACCATACATATCTAGGATTTTAGAATTGACAAGTGCTTTACATTATAATTATAGTTACAAATTGAGAAAATAGTTATTTCCATTTAACAGTTTAAATATTAAGTCTGAAACGGTGTAGGGTTTCCTGCCTTGGCAGGGGGTTGGACTAGAAGACCTCCAAGCTCCCTTCCAACTCTTGCTATTGTATTGTATTGTAAGTGTAAATATTCTATGGCTCTGTTGTAGTTTCTTGGTAGAATCAAAACTTGACTATTGTCAGTTTGATCTGTAGATAATGAAACATGATTTTTCATTTCTTAATAGCTTAGATACTCTTATTTTCTTAACTAATGCTAATAGTTTATTTTTGTGTGTTTTGGGGAATTTCCCAATTTTGGAAGAAATGAAAACTGCTCCATTCCATCAGTTCAAATTAATTCCATTCTTACTATAACACTCAGCTCGGTTTTAGTTTAACACACATATTAATTGTAATTTGTAAAACTACAGATAGTTCTTGACATGATTATTTAATTATAGTTTAAAGATATAATGGCCTCAGAAAAAGTGACTTACGACTTATTCTCAAAATTATGACCATCTCAGCACGGTCACTTGATCACAATTTGGGCACTTAGTAAATGGTTCACATTTATGATGGTTGCAGCCATTTTAGGACCACTTGATTGTTGTTTGTGACCTTCCCAACCAGTTTCTGAGAAGCAAAGTCAATTGGGGAAGCTGGATTTGCTTAATGATTGCATAATTTGTTTAATGACCATGGCAAAATTGATCATAAAATCATGATTTGCTTTATGATTGCATCAACTTACGACAGGAAATTTTGGTCCCAACCAGTGGTGGGCTGATGCTGGTTCAGACTGGTTCGGGTGAACCAGTAGTTCCAACCAATGGTTGGGCCCGCTCACCTACCCTGGTGCTATCACGTCCTATATAATCGCTGGTTTTTCAATGCTGCACGCATTGAAAACACACGCTCACATTTTCGGTTCTGGGCGAACTGGTTGTTACAGTATGTGACGCCACCTCTGGTCCCAACTGTGGCTGTAATTTGAGTTATTGTAAATGTTATAAGTTGTAAACCTTTAAAACACACACACACACACACACACACACACACAAACACAGCGAGAGAATAATATAAAAGAATGGAGGGATTTTCTTTAAGATCCCTGACAATTACTGAGTAGACTTACTCACTTATATAGATTAAGATAACAAAGATGATTAAGATGACAAAGTAGTTTTGTACACTTTGATAGCAATATTTCTATGCGTTATAAAAGAGGAAACAAATGAAATAGAATGATAAGTAAAGTACTTGTAGTGCAACATATTCTAATCAATGCATATTGTTGCCTGGGTGAAGGGAGATTACTCAGTGCAGGTAGAACCAACATCTGAACTGATTTCATATTGGGAGCAATTTGAGGCACTATATTTGATCTAAGTAATTTGATATCACAAATCTCTTCCCTCCCACTTTTTATTTATGAAGTGCTACTTTGAAAAGTTCCAAAGGCATATTAAGCTTGAATAGTACACAGTTTTTTAATGATTCCTGAAAGTGAAACTTTTACCTCAATGAAATGAGAAGCTCATTATTTTTACTCTACAATGTTTTTTGTTTTTTAATGGCTGAGGTTTGGCATTACTGTTTTTGAATGTTTATGTAGTCAATTTTATTGTTTAAATCATTGCATCACATATCTTGGGCTGTAGGGATGAAACATGTTATGTCTGACAAAGAACCTTAACTCCACTCAGGACCAGCTGAAAACTATTAAATAGGAAACTGAATCTTACCAACAGATTCTGTTAATTATAAATTTGTTAATGGTTTGTAGATCATGAACTGTAGGTTAGAGGCCTTGGTTTAGCTTATACTTTAAGTAACTATACATCTGAATTGATAGAAATAAGAAACACTGTCTAATCACTTGTGTTTAGCTCTTTCTGCCAATGTTATATTAAATAAACTGTAGGATCCTCCATCCTTTTCACACTGCAGTAAAAACATTCAAATGGCTGAAATCTGATTAAGTCTAATGTATTCTTGCCTGAAATCTTGTAAGATTTTATATGACAGTTTCCAAGTTTCACCCATTTGTAATGTTTTAAAACATTCTGAAGGATCAATCTGAGCTATGTAGAGAGTTGTGCTGTTCTGTTTAATATAATATCAAAATCAAGATTACTTGCTGTTATTCTCCACCCAGATATTGAAAGTTTTGACAGCATACAAGTTTAAAATATCATCATCACCATCATCATCATCAACAACAACAACAACAACAAAGAACCAAGCTAGGTATTGCAATTTAAAAGTACTGCAAAATTAATGCAGGCTGTCTTGTTTAGTTGTTCCCAGTGACAGGAGAATGCTAAGTGACAACAACTGATAGCATGCATCAACATATGCATTGCCAATAATAAGACTTGTCAAAAGAATTTTTTGACATACTACATCTGAACTGGACCATCAAATGTGCACATAGCATTACATTCCTTTCATTAAATAATTTTTGTTTGCCATTCTTTCCTAATATAATATAGTAGACTATTGTTTCATGTTTTTGGGATGTAAATTATTTTGAAATCCAAGGGCTTAAAATGTGTCTAAATATATAGATGACAAAGGCAAGAAGCATTTTTAAACAAATGCAAACCCCACCCCCAGCATTTACATATCCCAAACTAATTTATAAGTAAATACATTTGCATCACTGCAATCTTGCTTCACTAACTGCCAATTAGAAGTCTTGGCCAGATTGGAAAGTATTTATTTTTTATTGAAATAGCATTTGCTTTCATCTTAGAAATATATACAGTCAAATCTTATGATTTTAAAGTATGGAGCGGAAAACAAAGGAAGATCTATATAGGCTTTTGATATTGTGAAAGCTAAATCTCTTCTTTTTTATGCTATTCTAAATAAAATTAAGAGTATTTAAATTCTGTTCATTCAATGGGACAAATCCTTGAAAATTTGTCTTATTGGCCTGGTTTTCATTTAGTGCTAAGCCACTTTGTTTTTGATTTAGTGTAAGACAAATCTAGCCTAAGGATTTTTTTTTTAAACAAACTACAATTAAACTCCATTATAAATCTGGCTTGTTTTAACCATTAACCCGTTAAAACTCATAGCTTGTTCCTGAATTGTCTTTTGTGTGTCATTTAAGTTGTAGGTAATAGAAAGAGAAATAGGGTGAAGCTAACTAGGAGTAACCATGAAGTTGTAAGCAAGACAAATCTTGACTTGGTGCTATTTCCAAATACAACTACAAAATACAACAATCAATATGCAGTATTCCAGCTCTTTCTGTGATGCTCCTAGGCCTTTTCCTTTGCTCATTCACATACAAAATATGTATACCAGTTTGTTCTGTGTATTCAAGCATAATGCAGTCCTTGCTAGATACCTACCATATTTTTCGGAGTATAAGATGCACCGGAGTATAAGACACACCAAGATTTTGAAGAGGCAAATTAAAAAAAAAAGTTTTGCACTCTGCAGACTTCTCAAAAACGGCCCGTTTTTCCACGAAAACAGGCCCGATTTTTGACCACAAAAAGGGCATGCAAAGCCTTTAGGAGGCTTATAGAATGCTCATTGAGGCTGGGGGAACAAAAACGGCCATTTGGTCGATCATTTTTGCCCTCCCCAGCGCCCAGGAGCACTCTGGAAGCCTCCTAAAGGCTATACACATCCATTTTTGCAAAGGGGGCAGGGTTTCATGAAGCCAAAAACGCTGTATTCGGTGTATAAGACGCACCCAGATTTTCACCCTGGTTTTTTTTAGGGAAAAAGGTGCGAAAAATACGGTACATTTTAGAGTGCCAATTTCATGGCTCTAATAAACTAGCAAACTATTTCAGGTAGTCCTTGACTTACAACAACAACTGATATTTCTATAACTAGTTGTAAAGTGGAAATGAGACCCCTCCTGAAGAAACTGTCTTTGGACCCAGCCATCTTGAGCAACTATCGTCCAGTCTCCAACCTTTCCTTTGTAGGGAAGGTTGTTGAGAAAGTGGTGGCCTCTCAACTCCGACAGTCCTTGGATGAAACCGATTATCTGGATCCCTTTCAGTCCGGTTTCAGGCCTGGCTACAGCACGGAAACTGCTTTGGTTGCGCTGATCGATGATCTCTGGCGAGCCAGGGACGGAGGCCATGCCTCCGTCCTAGTGCTTCTTGACCTCTCAGCGGCCTTCGATACCATCGACCATGGTATCCTTCTGCGACGGTTGCGGGAGGTGGGAGTGGGAGGCACCGTTCTCCGGTGGTTCTCCTCCTACCTCTCGGACAGGTCGCAGTCGGTGTTGGTTGGGGGGCAGAGGTCGACCCCTAGGCCCCTAAATTATGGGGTGCCGCAGGGCTTGGTCCTGTCCCCCCTCCTATTTAACATCTACATGAAGCCACTGGGTGAGATCATACGGCGGTACGGGATTAACTACCATCAATATGCGGACGATACACAATTGTATCTGTCCGCCCCATGCCAACTCAGTGAAGCGGTAGAAGTGATGTGCCAGTGCCTGGAGGCTGTTAGTGTGTGGATGGGAATGAACAGGCTTGCGCTCAATCCCGACAAGACTGAATGGCTATTGATGTTCCCTCCCAAAGATTGGCAAACTATTCCATCTTTCAGGCTGGGGGGTGAAATTATACACCCCTCAGACAGGGTTAGCAATTTGGGAGTCCTCCTGGACCCACAGCTGCCTTTAAATCATCATTTGTCGGCTGTGACCAGGGGGGGGTGTCTTTGCCCAGGTTCGCCTGGTGCACCAATTGCGACCCTACCTGGACCGGGAGGCACTTCAGATAGTCACTCATGCCCACATCACCTCAAGACTGGATTACTGTAACGCGCTCTACATGGGGCTGCCCTTGAAAAGTGTTCGAAGACTTCAGCTAGTCCAGAATGCAGCCGCGCAAGCGATTGTGGGTGCACCCAGGTACACCCACGTTACACCTATCCTCCGCGAGCTGCACTGGCTACCCATTGGTCTCCGGACACGCTTCAAGGTGCTAGTTGTTACTTATAAAGCCCTGCATGGCATCAGACCTGGGTACCTGAGAGACCGCCTCCTGCCAAATACCTCCCAAAGACCGATTCGATCTCACAGGCTTGGCCTTCTCCGGGTTCCATCGGCCAGCCAATGTCAGCTGGCAACCCCCCAGGGGAGAGCCTTCTCTGTTGCTGCACCGGCCCTCTGGCATGAGCTCCTCGTGGAGATCTGGACCCTTACTACCCTCCCGGCCTTCCGTAAAGCTACCAAGTCCTGGCTGTTCCGACAGGCTGGGGGCTGTTGAAATATCCAGCCCCGCCTCAATTGTGAATGTTGTGCATTTTTAAATTCTTTGTATTGTCTTATTTATTTCCCTTTCCCTGTTTATTGTGAGCCGCCCGGAGTCCTTCGGGAGTGGGCGGCATACAAAACTAATAAACAACAACAACAACAACAACAATAAAGTGTTTATTTAGCATGTGCCTGGATTCTCTTTACCTTGGATCGTATTAAGAACGAAAAAAGTATTGGCTTTGAATTTATTGACACCAATTCCCAGCACAACAAAGCAAATTCTTCTATGTTCTAACACTGCATTTTTAAAGGAAGCCTACTTACTTTAGGACTGCACCTCGGAGTGCCTCTCTCTCTTTGGCTTCACCTGGTTCTTCCCCAGTGCATGGAATGATATCTGCTTCAGTGTATCTAAGAATAAAGTGTTAAGGAGAATACAGCCTGATACTAATTTTAACATTTGTGGACTTCTTTTTGGTGTTTATTTTAAGTCATCTTGGAGATCAACCAAGTTATTTTCATAACATGAGATGAACAATTCCAATTCACATATTTATTAAGTCTCAGATAGATTTAATATCCCACCAGTCCTCTAAAATACATATTTCCTCTTGCAATATTTCTCCACAACAGCAATCCTGTGAAATAAATTGTGCTGAGAGACTACTTGAAGTCCCCCAGTGAGTTGTCAAAGCTATGGATGGACTTGATTTTGTGGAATCTCTCTGTTCTTTATCTAACTACCAATTATACCACTCTTGAGCCAATGTATTTATGAGGTATCAAAAGTAATATATTTGGGAATAGTATCTCTCCCCCCCACTCCAAAAAAAGGAACAGCATGTGAATGCCACTGGTGCTATCAGGAAATTGCCAGAAAATAAGGTTTATCAATATGTAAAAAAATTGTTTCTGAACTCTTCTTTAATAGAGTTAAAATCATAGAACTTCTAGAAACAGAGGTACAGCAAAGCCACTTGCTAGGAGTTTAACATCTCTAGAAAATGATACTGTGGTTTTCCATATTCCAATGTGTCATCACCATCCACATCAAGGTCAGCATCACTGTCCGGATTCTCTTTGCCACTGCACATGACAAACCCAGATCCTAGAGACAAAAAGAAAATCCGTAGAGAACATCATTTAAGGATATAACTAATGGAGAAATACAAATTATTTAGAAGTTTTTTAAAAGCAAAGGTTATTTTATCTTTTTACATAAAAAGGAATTTAGAGAAAATTTCATTGTTCTCTTGATATTTAGATTTATTTTTTGGGGGGGAGGGACCAGATATCTGTGAGGAATGACATTTCTCAGAAATAAACTGAACTGGGAACTGCAGTGCATAACAGCAGAAAAAGTATATTCAAGCCAAAAGCAAGCAGTCTATGATTTATGAGAACTATTGTGGCAAGCGAAGGAAAAAGCAAATGTAGAGAACTTCCAGTTAAAATGTACGGAATGAAAAACATTGTTCTATGCAGAAGAAATCCCAGTATTCCAATGTTGATATGAAAAAAGAGTTTCAATACATATTTGATGGACACACATACTGAACTTCTATGTAAAACGGAATGTTAACTTTTCTTCATAAATTGTATTTATTTGTATTCTGCCTTAATCTGAACTGCTGATCACTTGCCCCACCTCACCACCAGATTAAATGAATATTTTAATAAATCCAGAGTAAAGGGAATACAATATGCAGGATACAATATACATAGATAAAATATGTTTAATGTTGAAGTATATGGTAAATGACAATATAATATGGGGAATCCATTTAGGAACTAATTAAAAAACATCTATCCAGCAAACTTTATTCAGCCTTCTAGATATGGTGATAAAACACACACACCCATGAGCTGCATTCACTACCATACCTATGACATCCCTTCATCCCCTATGGATGTGAATTGTTTTGATGCTCTGTATTAAAACATTTACAATAAGTTATTGACTTTGGATGGCAATACGGAGAAGAATCTGTCAGGAACCACTGGACCAGTGAACCAGATTGTTTACACATATTGACCATATCTCAAAAAAATTGTATAGCTGACGTGCCCATTTTATACAACTTAGGTACCATTTTCTATTTACCAGTTTGGAAGCCAAATTTTATTTGTTCTGTACAGCTACAAGTTTACAAAGGTAACTTCAAAAAGTAAAATGTTTCTTTTCAGTTTCCTGAAACAGGCATGCTATACTTATTAAATAATGTACAATATTGCACATAGTAGCCTTAATTTAATGACTAGTCACTATCGAACAGAATGTATATATTTTGAATCGTTTGTCTGGCAAATCTTTCTGTCTCCTGTTCATAAAAATAGTTCAGAGGTCTGTAATAAGATAGTCACTAGGACTTACTAAACACCACTGCTTGTCATTTACAACTCACAGCTGAAGCCATTGAAATGCATTATTAATAAGCTGCAACCACGTTGGATGATGAAACTGCACTTTCTCAAACATTGGGTGGCAGACTTATATATGCCTACAGACAAGCACCCAACCTGAAGCAGATTCAATCTCACAAGCAACAGGAAGCTCTCCAAGTGACAAGAAAATATGCATGGTTTATGGCAAGAACTGCTGCATGGATGTCAGTACTTTATGTCACCACTGACTCCCTAGCAACTCTTGATGTAACTAACAAAATGGACAGATTCACAAACTCTCGTAAGTCTTCCTAAAAATTTCTAGGAAGCAAACTGGAAAATCTTGCTTTTTGAATTCCATTTACTTTTTGCTGTTTCAAAATTGACTGAAGTCACCATATAAATCAAAAACAGAAGGGTTTAGGTTCCTCTCTAAAGTCAATGGTAAACTAGCTACTATTGCCAAGAAAATTGCACGGTATGCCCTTGAGGCATATCATGCAATTTTTATTGCATTAGGAGTTAAATTTAACAAAGGGGATGTTATCTTCACCTTTAGCCATGAGAAATTTTAGATTCAGCATCACAACCAACATTATTTTCCTACAGACCAAGTTTAAATTTAAGCTGAAGTGAGCCACTTTGGCACAGTGATGCTGGCCTAGAAACCAGCTGTAGGATTCCCTTAGATGTGACAGCTGGCTGGGCAACTTTTGGTTAATTACTGTCTCAGCCCAACTCAATTGACAGAGTTATTATTGTGAGGAAAATAGAAGGCAGGAGTATTAGTTCCATTCACCACCCTGAGTTACATATAAAACACAGAATTTAAAAATATTTAAAAAATGTTAAGGTATGGGAAACAGACATTATTTTTTATAAGGAAAAACAATAATATGTACTCAGATTCACATTTCAAACCTGAGATTCAAAAATTTTCCAAAGACAAAATCTTCATCCAAGTCAAGTATCTGAGGGTATTAGGATCTTGATCCAAATTCCATTTCATTTTTCTAGCCTCACTGCCAAACTTCTAATATGATTGAACAAAGTAGGTATACAGTGTTGTTTCTCCATAGCAATGGATATTTAGTCACCTAATTTTTTAAATGATGCTTTTATTTGTGATGCACCACCTACTCTCCCCTTTGGGGGAGATGGGTGGCTAAATCTGATAAATAAATATATCCAAACAATTGCCAATAGAGCTTATCAATGAATTTAGCCTTGACTTTTTTCAAATCACATTTTCTAATTTTGAATAATCAGAATAACATTCTTTATACTATGACATCTTAGATAATCACTCCGAATAGAGAGCACACAGCATAAATGCAAGGCAACCCCCCTCAAAAAAATCCCTAATATGGCCAAACATATTAAGCAATCTCAAAGTTAAAACAGAAAATAAGATAATAATTATTAAAGTTTTTCTTGTAAATTGTCCTTTTTATTAGTTTAATTAATATAAAATACAAAAATACAAAAACAAATAGGAAAAAATAGGGGAGGGAAAAACGGAAGGGAAGAGTGTAGAAAAGAGGGGGGGGGAACCGTTGAGTTCCGACTACCTTTGGTGCAGTAGAATAAGATAGTAACATCAAACCACAGCTTTTTACTTTTACTTAATAATATAAAGTGGCCATTTCTATTATCAACAAATCTGTCTAATCAGTAAAACCCAAAATCAGTTTCATTTTTTTCCACCTCAAGCACAAATCCAAAAGATTATTATTAAAGTTTTAATTTCAAATGACTACTTAGTGTGCCTAAGAGTTATGATAGGAATAATAATCTTAACATAATCTTAACTTTTGTTACATTGTTTAGTTTAATGATTTGGTTGCCACAATTCTTGGAACTGTAGGGGCACAAAAACATAATATAAATATAGCTGTCAATATTCTATTCTAAATAATAACCCCTATGTCATTTACACAAGAAAAACATGTTTACTACTTTATGTTTCCAGTTTAGAAGATTTTACCTGTACACAACCTCATCCTTGCTAACAAAACCAATCCAATGAGCTAAAGAACCTTATTCTCTGCATTCTTTAATCCAAAGTGCCTCTTTCAAGGTCCAAGCAAACGAGTATGAATACTCAGGGCATATTCTGGGGCTATTAAACCAAGAAAAACAAAGTGACCACTGTTTCTAATCCCCATTGTTCTTGTAGTCAGTTGCTCGACAAGCAATTCCAGCACCAGTATTGAGTGGCACTTCTATAAACCCTGTGACAGTTTGGGAGACAAACTCTCCCTCATCAGTCAGAATGTACAAATCAGGATCACTTACTCTGAGAGCACAGCTGCCCTCCAGCACTGTGCTCACAGCTCTGCTCAGTCTGATTTTGAAGACCCTGGCACCAAAAAATGAGTTAATACCAAACATTGTAGGAGTTCAAAACAATAAATATTCCTGCTGATATATTTATTTATTAAATTTATATGCGGCCCATTCCCCTACAAAGTGACTTTATTGCACACAACTTATGGGGAAATTTTAAACTGCACATTAGAAATTCTTCTCTAAATGCCCAAAAATGTTTCTTTTCTCATGTATAAATATTTCTTTTTTCTGCTACCTCCTTGCTCATCTATCATGCATGAGTGGGCAAGCTATAAAGTATGACTTCAAGTGTTATTAAAGATTGAAAATAGTGAACAGGAGACACTGACCAACTCTCTGCTCTAAAGGCTACTCAAGAATTGCAGTGTGTCCATGAGTTTATAAGCTAACCAGAGGGGAATCAATAGTTTATGGTATCTGTTACTATGAGTGTATAAAATTATATTAATCATGAACAAAGGTAACTAGAGCCATCAGTCTCTTACAGCAATCTTTCCCCCACCCAAAGGGAAGTCTTTTTTAAATACTGTTACTGTTTACAATTTAAGATGTTAGTTTTTTCATTTACTTTAGCTAGCATGAACCTAATTACAAGATGTGGCAAAGAGCCTCATATAATGTCCCAGGAAGTAAGTCTCCATATTTGTGCATCTTCCTCCTTAAATGAGTTACATATTTACTGCTAGTAAAAGCTTCATTGAATAAGTGGACTCTCCACCCAATGGTCTTACAAAATCCTGTACTTTTTATTGGAAGAGTACCTGCATCTATACTACATTCATACGCAGATGGTAGCATGAAATAAAAGAAATAATGCACCTTGCATAGTTAGGCTTACAGAACAAATGGCATATGGATAATACTTCATTGTGGAGAGCAAACAACAAAAATAATGCCAATGAAAAAAGCAAGTTCTTTTGCAATCAGTCACAAGAGAAAAGACAGAAAGGTGAAGATACCAATTGCATTCTTAGTTGGGTTGATTATTTGTGCCAGCAACTCATAATCTAACTTTAAAACTGAATAAAATTAAAGCACCTAATTATTTTCTTAGCTAAAACATTTATAAACAAAATGACAAATCTCCTACTTGTCCAATTGACAACAGCAAAAAACAACTGCTGGTTAATATGTCCTGTACGTAGCATATATTAGCTTCAGACAGCCACCATCTGGACTGTTAGGGTCAACTATTCATTCTCCAGCTATTCCAGAGCTGCTCAACCTGATTTTTTAATATTGAATTTGGTCCTAACATTTACCTATGTATGTTTAAGTAGTTATCATTTGTGGATACTGTTGCTAATTGCCACTTACAGGTAACTTTTTAAACGGTTATAAATTGCAAAAATCTGTAAGTAAAGAATACAT